GGAGCTGTGGAGCAGATTCTCCTTGCGACTGTACTCCTGAGGTTGAGGCGTTGACATCCCAACAGTGTTTGTTTTGTCAGTGCAGCCACGGCAGGATAATCCAATTCAGTGTATCATCTGTCAGAAAACTCCTGTACAGTTACCCCACTGCACTTGCTTTCAGTTAAGACTCTGTAAGGTGCGATATTGCAGTGAAATCACTGCCAGCTGCCTTACGCTGTATTTTTCAGCACCACGGAGAGCGACAGGCAGACTGAGGGTGGTATACGCTTCCAAGAAGTCATGAAAAAGCTCAAACCCACATACTGCTTCACATATATTTATTCATTTACACACTCACTTGCCATTTTCTTTGGTGCACCCAGCTGCAGTTAACACAGCCTTCAATAACTCCTACATGCTTGAAGGTTTCAATGTTTCACTGTTTGTGTTAGTGCTATAGAGAGGTGTTGATTCAATGTAGCAGGTATTTTTAAAGCTGCTGATATCTTGTATTGTGCTATACTGCTTTTTTCAGTATTTACAGAAATATTAGCTGATTTAAGTCTATGAATCACAGAGTTAAGTAATAATCTAGATGTAATTTAGCTAATAATAATCCAGTAGTGGAAGGACAATGTAAAACATTTACACGTTCTTCTGGGTTCCTGTACTCATCGTACACACTGAGCTTAGCAGGACGGTGCTGAAGCGGTTACTTCTTGGTTCAATTATTATTTCACAGTTTAGCTTGTTAGCTATTTTAAATATTTATCTGTTATAATAACTGGACTGTAAACAGCAGTGCTGTAAACATTGATCCGCACACAGAGACACTAGTAGCTCAGAAACAAGCTGTCCAGCACAGTGAATGGGCCCTCAGAGTGTACTACATACTACCTATAGTACACTGTATATACATAAGAAATCCTCCTATTTGGAGGTTTTACTGTAACAGCAAATGAAACAACCCTTGTCCCGTTTTTCACATTTTACTCATACAGTTAATTTAAAGGGATAGGTCATTATTATGGGAAGTGTACTCATTTATTGTCATATTTGTATGGTTGATGCAAAACAGTCAACTTTGCCAGACTATAAAAAATTCAGTAGTTCAAAAGCTGACAATTGAAGTATGAAACATTAAATTGTTGCCTTCTATTTAAAGGGTTATTAGCAAAAGGCTTGGCCCTGATTTTTTCTTTTTCTTTTTCTTTTTCTTTTAGAAATATCTTCAAGTGGATTGGTAATAAATGAAAGTATAAGGTATAATGAGTTTTTAAGTACCTGTGGGTGAAGCCAACAGCTTCATATTCTAATTTTATTTTTAACCGTGAGCAGTTACTCCTTTACATTTTGTACATTTGTGTACAGGAGCAGCATAATGAAAAATCAGTGTAATAGTCGTACTTTTAAAAAATGTATTTTGTATGTTTTTTCCTCTTTGGATGCGGCTGGTGCTTCTTTTTTTTTTAAATAATTTACACAACTGCCTTTTTAAATGAACGTGACCTGTTGTAGCGGCGGGTTATTTCCGTTCTGCTCTGTCAGCACAAACACGCACTCGCAGGTGATGCTCGCTCTTCTTGCGCCGGCCTTGGAGCATTCTGGCGGCCATTTGATGAAATGGTGATCTCGTCAAGCTGCTGCGCAGGTGCTCGTCTGTGCGTGTGTGTGCGAGTGTTCTTTGATCCGCCTTTCATATGGTCGTACAGCTGTGTGCTGATGTGATTACAAAGGCCTTGCCAGATGTGCTCGCCAGCTGTCTGTGACACAGCCTCTGTTTGTTTTTGTGTGTGTGTCTGTGTGTGTGTGTGGAGGGGGGGTGAGTGGTGGTATGAGGCAGCACTTCGTGGGGGCAGGTTCAGATTTAACACCACCGCTCACACGGGCTTTTTTGAAAGCGGCGTCTGGGTGCTTGTTGTGCCCGTGTGATCATGTTCTCATGTGTCCTGGAATACGATTGGCTTATAATATTGTCTTCATTCAGCACTTCCCATTTCACCGACACTTTAGCCCACTAGGGAAACGTTTGTGTGTGTTTGTGATGGAGACAAAGAATGTGGTTGCAGTCCTTATATGGTCATGTAGTTTGGTTTTGAGCGAGTGCGTTCGCTACAGAATGAATCAGAGTGCTGTTACATCAGAGGTATGGGCAGGCGGGATGGATTACTTGGCCTCCTATTGGAACACACACTTCCGTGGAGAGTGAGAGAGAGAAAGAGGAATGATGGAACATGCATGCATATGCATACTCAGATGCCCTACTTTTCAGCAACACAGAGATATCGGGACTGTTATGTAGCAAGGGATGCGGACAGTGCAGATTCATGGTGTGAATGAATGGGAGTGACAAAAGGAAGCCACTCCCCTGTACTGCTTCCCAGCACTTTAGCACAGAGAACACAAAAAAGAGGAACTAGTGAAATCTACAAATGTTTGGTAATGAATGAAGTGCAGAATGAATTACATCAAACTGCGGGTTGCTAGGGGGCTGGAGCCTATCCCAGCCACCACTGGGCGAGAGGTACACCGTGGACAGGTCGCCAATCTGACGCAGGGCCAACACAGAGAGACAATCATTCGCACTCACAGTTAATTAGTTAAATTAAATACCAGAGAGTACAAAAAATTTGTACTTTGCAGCAAGTGGTGTAAGTGTTCATTACTCACAGATGAACTAAACATCACTGGATTAACTCTGTTCTCCAGTAAATTTCCATTATCATCTGTATAACGATTAATTGAGTCATTCAGGAACTCTTCATTAATGATGCTTTATTGGTCATGTCTGTATTGCCTTTATTGAGAAATAAAAGCAGAAGCAGATGCTTTCATTTTCAAATGTTGCCGGGAAACTATTGTAGTTTTGGTGTTTTTAGATTGTTATTTCAGGTCTTTAGTTTGACTTTGAAATGTGGATTTTTGGGTTAAGTGAACTAAGTAGTCCAGAGACCATAGAATAGGAGGTTTTATAGATAAATACTAATATTTGGTATGAGTAAGTCAAGCTGAGCTATGGAGCTAAGGAGTTTTTTTTACTGACCTCAGGAAACTTCTTTGCTCCGAAACCGATGTCCCTCTCTCTTCAGTAGTCTTCTGCTAAATCAAATGGTTCTCTCGGGGTCACAGTAGCCGTAGGTTAGTGCATGTACCACATAACTGCAGCACCCACTGTGTTAATGTCACAAACCCCTCACTGCTCTTTACGCCTCCTCTCCTTCAATATCAAAAACAAGAGTGCGCAATGGTGAAGATACCAACGGAGCAAAGCAGAAAGAAGAGAAGCTAGCCCAGCCAGACAGCTAGCAGGATGAAAGCTGTGATGTTGTTTTCTGAGTTAGTGCATGCTGATAGCTATTATTTACTGGTAAAAAAAAAAACCCTTCCCACCCATGGGTGGTTTTTTAAACATATAGATATTCATAATTGCTGTATGTGTGACGGTGTTCAAGTTTCATTCCAACAATTTCTTAAGGAGACAATCGGGTAAATACAGGCAAATATAAATGAGAAATTATTAATACATTCAAGTCTACATGTAGTATATGCTGTAGGTTTTGGAAATATTTCACACTGTATACAAAAGATGGCCTCTCCTGGGAGAGCATGCTGTGGCTTTTTGGATTGTTTCATTGAAACCTCCATCGCCATCTCGTTTTCATTTGTTTGTTTATTTTTGTTTGTTAACGTATTTGTAAAGGGGGTACACCTGCTAATGTTAGCACTGGCTTGCCAGCAATTAATTGACAGCAGTGTTAAGTTACAGTCCATTATTTACTAATTGACTTTAGTTGAGTTCCACTGTTATCAGCAGATATATTAACATTAGAGACCAAAACCTAAACATGTTTATTTCTGCTGATGGGTATTGTTAGATCCCAGTTACACCTGTACACAAAGTCTGGACCTGCTCTTCTTGTAAAGGGTCTGAGTGGCTGATCCTGTGGGTCTTACTTATCTTCCTGTATATTGTGACCGTTTTACAGAAAGACTTCCTGTTCGTGCACGTCTGTCATTCAGACTCATTACAGAATAATTATTTTCACTTAGTTTGTTCAATTTATAATGCTGCATTTCAAGTTAAATCACCATTAGTGCAATCACATCTGTATATATCTCTGAACTCCATATTTAGGGACAGATATTAACCTTTAAAGCCCGAATTGTGAAATTGTTACCAGAAAATTTAAAGTTCAATTTAAAGTTTTTGAAAATTGAGCATTTATTCAGGCAATTTAATAAAAAAAAAAAAAATCAATTAAATATTAATGTGCTTAAATTAGCTTAAATTTTTTTTATCGTATTTGCTACATCCCACATTTTTTGCAATGTATTGATTAAAATGTATCGTTTATGTAAGTTTGACTCACAAAAACTAGGCGTTAAGGGGTTAAATCCCTTATTTAGACAGTCTCAGGTGGATAAGGCCTCGGGGATCTCAGTCTCAGACATGTTAACAACAAACTCCATGGGGATTTAACTTGAGCTGCCCTACACCCATATAACAACTGCACTTTAACCCTTTTGTGTTGACGACAGGTATTTCTAGGCAGCACCTTTTGGCACATTTTAATTAATGCGACT